GTCTGGACGGCCCCCTTGGCCACGTTGACTGCTCCTGTGAGCCCCGCGGACACAGTGTCTTTGGTGCTCAGGACCACAGACTTTGTGGTGTCCACGCCCCCCTGGACAGCTCCTTTGGCCACGTTCATGGCCCCCGTCACCCCRCTGCAGACAGTGTCCTTGGTGCCKGTCARCACRTTCTTGGTGGTGTCCATGCCGGTCTGGACAGTTCCTTTGGCCACATTCACTGCCCCCATGAGCCCAGTGGACACTGTGTCCTTGGTGCCCGTCAGCACGGTCTTGGTGGTGTCCAGGCCAGTCTGGACAGTTCCTTTGGCCACATTCACTGCTCCAGTGAGTCCAGATGTCACTGTATTTTTGGTGCCTGTGAGGACAGCTTTTGACGTGTCCAGGCCTCCCTGGACAGCTCCTTTGGCCACGTTCATGGCCCCCGTCGCCCCGCTACATACAGTGTCCTTGGTGCCCATCAGCACGGTCTTGGTGGTGTCCATGCCAGTCTGGACAGTCCCTTTGGCCACATTCACTGCTCCAGTGAGCCCACTGGTCACTGTGTCCTTGGTGCCAATGACCACGGCCTTTGAAGTGTCCAGGCCTCCCTGGATAGCCCCTTTGGCCATGTCTACTGCCCCCATGACCCCGCTGGACAGCACCTCTCTGGTGCCCGTGAGTGCTGACTGCGTGGTGTCCAGGCCTCCCTGGACCACGCCCTTAGCTGCATCCATCACACTGGCCACTCCAGAGGAGATGGCCCCCTTGGTCCTGGTCACCTGGGAGCATGCCAGGGCTTTGGCCTCTAACATCGGCTGAAAAGAAAGAACACAAGTGGTCAGCAGAGTGGGGGTGCTGCACCCTGGAGCTCACGTCCTCCCTTGGCAGCAGGCCCTGCGGCRGCTGCAATCACCAGAGCCCTGCTCCCTGAAAACACTGCCCCGTCCCACCAGACACACCGGCACCTTTGTCAGCCACGTTGGCCCCGGTGTCCCAGGGCAGGCTCGTGAGCCCGGTGTCACATTGCGCCCAAAGGTCTTTTCCAGTTATTCCCAACGCCCCATTCAGTAGAGTCCCCATTGGTGGCTCTYGCATACTCGCCAGGGTCCCAGGCCTCAGGCTCGGCCATGTCACGAAGGTCCCTGTGCTGTGGTCACCTGTTGTATTCTCTGGCAGATTTCAAGCCTGGCTTCCCAGCAGCAGTTTGGTTTGGGGGATTTTGTTTGTTTGTTTTTTTGGTATCAGGGATTGAACTCAGGGGCTCTCAACCACTGAGCCTCATCCCCAGACCTTTTTGTATTTTATTTAGAGACAGGGTCTCACTGAGTTGCTGAGGCTGGCTTTGAACTCGTGATCCTCCTGCCTCAGCCTCCTGAGTCRCTGGGATTACAGGTGTGTGGCACTGCGCCTGGCGGCAGATTGCTTTTTGAAAATTGAACAAACTCGAGTTAAAAGAAGCAAATCAAGATTTAGAAAAGTAATAGCCAGAGTAGAGGCACTGTTGGGTTGGAGATGAAAGTCTCGGTGACCTGAATCAGTTTTGGCCTCCAGAAGGGCAGATTTCCGTAGGCTCCCCAGGACACTGGGTGGCAGGCTGGTGCTCACCACCTTCAGGAGATACTATAATCRTGTGCCCACTCCCCACCCCCACCCCCAGTACCGGGGACTGAATTCCAGGGCCCTCGACCACTGAGCCCCATCCCCACTCCTTTTGGCATTTTTAGAGACAGGGTCTCAGTGAGTTGCTTAGTGCCTGGCTTTTGCTGAGGCTGCCTTTGAACTCCCAATCCTCCTGCCTCAGCCTCCTGAGCTGCTGGGATGACAGGTGTGTGCCACCGCACCTAGCCCAAGCATGCGCTTTTTAATTCAACAGGTCTCAACTGGGGAGGTCCTGCCTCCTGGGACACTTGTGCTGGCCTGGCGGGGATGGAGGCCAGGGATCCTGCTCAGCACCCTGCCAGGCCAAGACGGCTGCACTGCAGGGAAGGAGCTGGCCCCGGTTTCCATGGTTACTAGGCTGGAGAAGCTGACATTCTCTTCTCCACACTTGGCTCTGCCCACAGTTAGCTCAGGTGCCCACCTTGGCTCTGAAACAACTGGATTTGAGTCCAGCTCTCTCCTGACCTGAGACAAGCCACACACAGTCCTTCTCTGAGCCCGAAAAATGGTGATTACAATGGCATCTCCTCCAGGAATGGTGCAGGAGATGATTCGGGGCACCTTAACCCTTGGAACACAGTAGGTGCTCAATTGATGCAGAGGGATGTGGCCTCTGCTGGTGAGTGTATATTTTGTTTGTTTTTGGTGCCAGAGAATGAACCCAGGGCCACTTACCACTGAGCCACATCCCCAGCCCCTTTCATGTTTAGAGACAGTGCCTCCCTGAGTTGCTGAGGCCGGCTCTGAACTGGCGATCCTCCTGCCTCAACCTCCCAAGCCACTGGGATTACAGGTGTGGCCCCATGCCCGGCTGCCAGGTGTGTTTGGACTRGGGCTCAGGAGCCTTCAGGGGTGAGCCCAGCACTTCTTGGCCCTCTGAGGTCCCCGGGTCTGGCAGATGAGCAGAGCGGGGAGTCATGGACAGCTCTAGACTGGGGACCTGTGCGGGGGAGATTGGTGCCAGGGCTTTGCTGTCCTGCTGTGACTTTCAGCTTAGCCAGGCCTCAGGGACTCTGGTACCACAGTGGACCCCCTTTCTGGCATGGGTTATTGAGCTTGTGACTGCCAAAGGTCCAGACCTCGGCCTGCCACACCCTGCTGTGTGACCTGCGGGTGGCTCAGCACCTCTGTGCTGCCTTCCCTGAGGGGCGATGGAGGACTCGGCCTGGTGAGCACAGAGCATGGTGCTGTTTGGCTGCAGGCCGGGTGGAGCCCGTGCCCGTTCCACAGCGTGGAGACAGCCCGGGGGGCGGGGTCCACGCAGATCCCCCAGCAGGACCCGCAGGGCCGTGCCTGCCTCCTCCCCGTCCTAGGTGGCAGGAATGGGACACCCAGAAGAGGCCCCAAGGCTTCAGCCGCCCGCCCCTCTCACCTTTTCTGGAGGCTGCGGCAGTCCCTCTGTACCCCTGGGCACCTGTGATGGCTCCGTGGCCACTGCGGGGACAGAAGCTGTCAGGGAGGGTGTGGGACGCCGTTGGGATCAGCTGCCCTGGAGCCTGTTGCATAATTTCCCAGCACAGCCCAAAAGGTCAGGAGTGTCCCAGCCATCCGGCCAGGGACAGCAGGAGGTGACATCAAGGGTCCAGCCAGGCTCAGCCACTCACCCCTGCAGGGTCTCCCTGCCCCCTGCAGCGCACTGCCCTGGAGCAGGACTCGGTGGGGTCCTCAGCTGGCCCCAGCCCAGCCCCGGGCTACACAGCCCTGGCCCCCCTGCCCCGCCCCTGGCAGCTGCCAGCCGTCTGTTGGCCAAGGTATGTGAGGCACAAGTCAGCTGCCCGGGGCCCCGGGCCCAGAGCGAGGCCCAGCCCTGGTGGCCGCCCCAGCCCTGGGTTCCCTCAGCAGCTGCTCTGCGTGTCCTGGGCCTGCCCGGGGTGTCCCAGCTGACTCTTCGGACAAGGAGACCCAGGCTGTGTGGCCCCAGGGAAGCTGCTGCCCTCTCTGGAGCCAGGATCGCAGTCCTCCAGGAGCTCGGATGGGCAGAGCCCCCGGCCTTTCCCACAGGACACCAGCAGCCGGGTGGGAGCCCAGAGCGTGGGGCCTGMGAGAGCGTGCTGTCCCCACGCCGTCTGTGCCCCCACAGCCAGCTCGCTTCCCGGCCTCACGCCTGTCAGGCCGCCTGTGGGGTCTGGGACGCAGCTGTGCCTTTGGGGGCTCCCTCTGCCTGGGCCCACTCAGACCCCCACCCCACCACCGTCCACTCACCCTGGGCCTGAGGCTGGGTGGCCTCAGGGGCAGGGGMGCCTGTGGTGCTGGCTGCTGGCCGGCTCTGTCTGCCGGAGCCCTGGGCGCTGGCCACCAGGTTGCGGGCGGAACTGAAGCCAGGCAGGGACCCGAAGAAGCTGCTCAGGGTCTGCGGGGTGGGGCAGCGTGAGCTCGGCCGCCCAGGGACCCCCGGGCGGCCCCCCGGCCCCACCCCGCCTTTGCAACAGTGACCTTGGACGTCTGCGCAGCAGCGGGCAGACACAGCCTGCCCCGTGGACAGAAGGGACTTGGCCACCGGAATGCCAAGGCCACTGCTTGCTGCTGCCCTTGCACAGACGGGAAACTGAGGCCGGTGGGGCGGGGCTCACCTGGGTCACGCCATGGGGAAGGCATTGGAGGCTGTGACGCCCTCAGGCTTCTCCAGCCCTCCCGCCCCACGGGGGCCTTGCCCGGAGCCGAGGACACCTTGGAGGCTGGAGTCCCCAGGCCAGGCAGGATGTGCCCCCCCTTACCTTGCCCTTGGACTTGGGGGGGTCCTGTCTCCCTTCCTCTGCAGCAGACATGGTGACGGTCTCCACAGCTAGAAGGACAGAGAAGGAGCGGGAATGGGGTCCTCGTGGCCCTGCTGAGTGGTCCGGCAGCTCTGCACCCACCTGCAGCCCGGGTCACGGCGCAGGAGGCGGCCGACCTAAGTGCGCCAGGCTCCCACGGGGTGACAGGCTGCAGCTGGCAGCTGCCTGAGCTCCCTGTTCCCAGGCCTTATAGGGTCTGGGGCGGGTGCTGCCGGGCCAGCAGAGGCAGGCGGCCAGTGGGACTGGGGGGGCAGTCACATGCCTGCCTGTGGGCCCAGCGTGGGCTCAGGGCCCAGCACCTTTCCCCTGCTCTCAGCACAGGCTGGTGACTGTGCCGACGCCCCCGCCCGCACCAGGCCAAGCGCCTCAGGGGCCGCTGGGCTCCCCACCCAGGCCCCAGGGAACCCCTTGCCTGCCCTCTGCCTCCATTTCCACCCACCAGATGGACACAGCTCAGGTCCTGCCCCCCCCCATGCCATAGCTAGCTACCATCTTGGTGCCTTGGCTTCCCCCACCCCCGGCACCCCACTGTGCCCGCAGGTGCCCGCCCCCCCCCCACTCCCCTGCTGCAGCCACACAGGCGCCTTGCCATGAACTCGGCACACCAGGTGTGGCCCTGCCCCAGGGCCCTTGCACAGCTGTGCCCTCTGCTGGTGCACCTTCCCCAGACACCCACTAGGCTGCCTCCATCCCGCCCCTCTGCCAGGCCTGTTTTGTCTCCCCTCGAGTCCAGCACCTAGAACAGTGCCTGGCAGACGTGTGACACTTGGGAAACTTTGAGGCCCATCAGGCTGGTGCTGAGCAGGAAGCAGGGTCACACCTGTGACCTCTCCGCCCCAGTGCTSGCCCCCCACGAGCACTCGCTTAGCAAGAGCAGGGGTGTCCTGACAAGGGAAGGGACATGTCTCTTTCTAGAAAGGACTTGGGTCAAAATACAGACCAAGATGGAGCAGAGCAGAGCTGGAGGTGCCCGAGGAGCTGGCTGGGCCTCCTGGGAGCCTCCCAGGAGGAGGCCACAGGGCCAGGAAGTGACAGAGAGGATTTGGACAGTCTCGGGTCCCACGCCAAGTGGGCTACGGGTGGACCAAGGGGGCCAGCAAAGCAGAGCGCTAACACTCGCCCTCCCTGGGTGTCCCCTGCCCACTGCTGGGACCCCTCCAGAACGGGATCCCAGCCCCAGCGCATCCAATCCGCTCCGGCCCGAGCTGGGAGGAGGCAGGGTCTGGCCTCTTGGCCTGGTGACCCCAGGCCGTCTCCTTGGAATCAGCAAAAACAGTCGGGACACAGAGGGGTGCCCCACGCCCTCCCTCCTCGGGAGGCTTGTGCTTCCAAGGGTGGCAGGAGGGCCCCAGACGTGCCCTTCCCTTTCCCAAAGGCAGCCTCCGCCAAGTGGGCGAGAGAAAGCCAGTAAAAACRATGAGGGACACCCCTGTGAAGTCCCCCTCCTCTGCCCACAGCCCCCGAGGTCCTGCCCAGAGTACTGGGTCCCCTCCCTGGCTCCTCTCCCCACCCTCCTCCATGGGGGCTCCCTGCTGCTCCTCCAACACGTCAGGCTTGGTCTAGTCCCAGRGCCTGGGCACAGGCTCTGGCTCCACCCAGGCCACCTTTCCCCAACCCCTTATCTCCACGCCACCTCCTCAGAGCAGCCTCCCTAAGCTGCCCCAACGTAAAATATTCACCCTTTTGTACTGCCCCCACCCCTCCCCTTTCATTTTTCCCATCTATTAACACTAAAATCCCTTGTTTTYCTCTTCATTATCTGTCTCCCAGAGGACATAATACTGTGTCCCCAGGGCAGAGAAGTGCCTGCACACAGCAGGCACTCAATAAGTGCTTGTTGAAGGAACCAGCAAGCGAGTGCATGGCAGTGTCCACACTGGGTCTTTACTGGGGTGGGTACAGCAGCCACCCCTTCACTCCCAGCTCCCAGAGAGGAGGCTCAGGGGCATCCCTTGCCCTTGTAGCTGGCGGCAAGTTGGGACCCAACCCCAGTGGCAGGGTAGCCTTGACCACTCTCCCCTCTCCTCCGCCCACCCACTCAAAAGTGACTCCCCGTCACGCCTCTGCCAGGGCTGGTCCCGGTACCAGAATGCCCTTCCCCGCACCCCTGGGCACCCCTCACCAGGCCTGGCCCTGCAGCCTGGCAGCCTGGTGTGGGAGGGGCCGTGGCCCAGGGCGGGGCAGGAGTCCTGGCCTCTCCTAGCCGGCTGGGGGCGGAGGAGGGCCTGCCAGTGGGTGCAGCCCGCAAGGCTTCCTGGAAGAGGCACAGCTGGGGCTGGAGGTGGGCGACACATGTCCTAGAGTCAGGCAGGAGGGTGGCAGGGCACCCGGGAGGTGGACACAGACCAGTGTCAGAGGGAGCATGGAGATTCCAGAGCAGAGGCCGGAGGCTAACTGGCTGGTGGGAGGGGGCCGGGCTCCCAGAGCCATCCTCGGGACGGGCACCAAGGAAGCCAGGGGGCAGCCTGATCTCACCAAGCCACACGGTGGTTTCCCAACACCCTTCCAGCCACAGGGGAATCAGGGGGGCAGCCAAGAACGGGGTCAGGAGATGGGAGGGCCCCCAAGATTGGCTGTGGCCTGGCCCTGCCTGTCTCCCCCACCCCACCAGTGCAGCAGGGGACACAACCATGCCAGCCCAGCAGGTTGGGAGCGGAAGAGGGGCCTCCTCATCCGCTTCCTTCTCTTAGGTCTTTCTCCCTGTGGTCTCCAAGAAATTCATTTATACTAAGGTGAGAAGGGCTTCCCCCAGGCGGTGCGCCGAGGGCCCGGCTGGCTCAGGCAGCAGGCTCCACACACAGGGAGGTACCACTCCTCTGTGGCCCCAAATGCTGACTTGAGGCCACCCTCCTCATGTCCTGCAGTCCCATTCTGAGGCCCCATACCCTGGTTCTGAGGCCCATCCACCAGGTACAGAGGCCCTGGACCCTTGGACAACGCGAAGCGTCTTTATTCTGGAGAGCAAACGACAAAGCACCTGGGTCTGGTGGGCTGAGCGGGCCCAGCTGGCATCTCTGGAGACCCCTCAGTGTGGGATGACCAGTCTGGAGGACAGGGGCTCCCTTCCAAAGCCTTAAGGACACCACTGGGCAGAACGTGTCCTTCCCAGGGGATTCTGAGCAGCCCTGGGGGCTGGGGCAGGACAGGGCGGTAAAGAGCTGAGGATGGCCTGAGAGGCTTTGCGGCCACGCCCCTGCCTAGGCCGCGCGATCCCCAGTGTCCAGGGAAAAGTGGGAGGGCTGGACCTGAAGGAAGGTGCCTGTCAAAGGTCCCAGCCACGCCCAGGCGGGGCCAGGCCGTTGGCGCGAGCGCTGGCCACCAGGGGGCAGCAGAGGCCGGCCCCGCCCTGGGCTAGAAGTCCAGCTCGGGCATCAGYGTGTGCTTGACCTGGCGCCGGGGGGCCTCGGGCTCCTCCACGCCGGCGCCCCCGGGGAGGCCCGTCCCGTCGCCGTGCTCCGCCTGCCAGGCTCTCTGCTGGGCTGGCCAGTCCATGTGCGCCCAGCGCGGGTCCGGGTCGCCCACCACCTCGTCCACCCAGTCCTCCAGGCCAAGCAGGGGCTCGGACCGCTCCATGAGGATGGGCGCGAAGGGCCCCACGAGCCAGGGCAGCGGCACGGTCTGCACCACCAGCTCCAGCAGCTCGTCCACGCAGGCGTGGGCCCTGGCCACGCGGCCCCGACCCTCGGCCAGCGCGGCCGCCGGCACGTCCCCAAAGGAGCGGGCGTCGGCAAAGGYGGCCTGCAGGGCGTCCACGCTGCGCCGCACCTCCGCCACCTTCGCCTGGGCGCCGGCAGGCAGGCCCCGCACGCTGGCCTCGAGCGCCTCCACCGTGCTCCGCAGCTCCAGGGTCAGGCTGCGCGACAGCACCAGGGTCTCCAGCTCCGCCTGCGGAGGGTGGGACCTCAGGGGCCTGGCCACGCCCCGGGTGGGATCCCTCTGGCCCTCAGTGGACCTGGAGTGGGGCTGGGGACTTCAGTCTCCGCCGTGCAGACACAGGGCTACTGAAACCCCGCTCGGCCTCAGTTTCTCTCTGGGACACACAGTAGGCCCGCTGCCCTGTCTGGGTTCTCCCCAGAGTCCCCCAACCAGCTGACCTCAACCTTGGTTTAGGCAGCTCAAGACTGGCTCCTGGCCGCCCACGATCGTTCCAGAAACCCACGTTCCCTGCAGCCTCACCTGCCCCCCTCCCCCCTCCTCACCTGGCTGCGCCTGCGTCCATTCTCCAGGGGACGCTGGTCCTCCCACTGCGCCATCACCTTCCCAGGCTGGGCTGCAGGGGAGGGGCCAGCCCCGCTCTGCGATCGGTGGATCTGCAGGGATGGAGGCCGGGACTGAAGGATCTGGGTTGAGGGCTTGAGGACCAGCTTCAGCCTGGACTGGCCTCAGTGAGCACTTAGTGAGCACCATCTGGATGCCACCTTCCAGGTCTGAGGATCTGGCAGGCCAGCCTGCCCCCCCCCCACCTCACTGCCCCTAGGACCCATCCTCCCCGCAGCTCCACAGCTGGCCCGTGCTCCCCTCCTGTGCTCCTGCCTGGCCACCCCCAGTCTTCATCTAGAAGATGCCCTCCCCAGGACTCCCCTCCTGCCCTGGGGCTGGCAGACCCCTGGGGTTCCAAGCACACATCATGGCCTGAGGCGGGGCACTAGGCTTTCAGCGTCAGGGACAGGGCCTGCCCAGAGGGCTGCTGGGGTCCTCGGTCCCACCGAGGTGCAGCCGCACACCTGGGCAGGGGCAGGACAGCACCCGGCAGAGCGGGGCCTGGGTCCACCCCAGCACTGCCAAGGAAAGTAGGCGGAAGCAAACCCGGTCCCAGTGCCACTGGAAGTCACCAGCCTCCCCCCCCAGGATGGAGACCCCGGGGGGATTGAACCCGGGGCACTTGACCACTGAGCCACGTCCCCAGCCCTTTTTAGTTTTTAGTTAGAGACAGGGCCTCCCCGAGAGGCTTTGACCTCTCAACCTCCTGCCTCAGCCTCCTGAGCCGCTGGGAGGACAGGCGTGGCCACTGGGCCYGGCTCAAGSGGCCCATCAAAGAAGGAAGTCSCACACCTGTCTCCTGGGGGAGGCACCCTGAGGACGCTGTGCTGAGGGAAAGGGCCAGACGCCGGGGGGCCACCCGTGGGACAGGAGGGAAGTGCGGGCCTTCAGAGCCACAGACAGGACGCAGCGTGTGGACAACGG